AAACACACGCCAGACATTTTTCTCATGAATACATCTCATCATCGGCACATTATTTTGAAGCTGTCAGACGATTAATTCGTCTGTCTATGTGATGATATCTTTTTGTAAATCGAAATATACTCATAGACTTACGAGCTCGATGATGAGAGATAAGAAGAAACACGTATTGCTTGCATTTTTGTTACGTTTTCGTAGAGCTTATAAAAGAAACTGCAGTATCATTAGTGAAGCATTTTGCAACATATTTTGCTATACGTGGTTCTAGCGAGTATCCATCGTATAAGGTTTCGTTTGTCGCTCTATTGCATAATCAGAAATATGATTAGTCCCACGAGAATTGCGAAACTGTTAGTCGATCGAGTGACGGAAAATAAGAGTCACGTCGACGACGATCAACAACAAATCCACGTGAAGAAGACGTCGGTTCTTTATTGGAAGTACTCGGTAATGTTTGCAACTGCACATCATATAAAATTGGATCAGATATGACACTTGATCACGATGACGATGAAGAATTCGGCGATTTTCAAGATGAAAGTGCTGATTCGGAAGACGAAGATGCTGATCCTAGTTTTGATGAGATGGTTAAAGGTGAAAAGGGGTCGATCAAAGCAAATTTCAGTCTCGATTACATGAAGAAGATTGTTGAATATTATGATGCGCGTGACTTGAACGGAAGGAGGAGACACACATGGAAATCTACACAACATCGATTCAAATCTATTCCTCATCGACAACATATCGCTCGTTTTCGTCACTATATTGATCAACATGGTACAAAAACGGAGAAAATACAGACTGTCGACGACTTTGTCTATGAAAAATTTGAAGAAGCGCGAGACAATGCATTATTGTATTGCTAATATTTCATGAAAATATACTTTATCTTCGTAGTATTTTATTTTATTTATTTACAATTAGACGTTTCGATCGCCATGACGCTTCGTATAATAAAAAGACCCTATTCAACTTTCAAAACAATGCACTATCCGTTCACGATCGGGATTTGAAGCGATGGGCGCCCCAGAAAGCTGCTGAAGAGCCAGGTCTTATATTCGAAGCGTCCGAACATTGGCTGCGAGTCTTCAAACATCGTCATCGTATTTGCTCGAAAAAAATCACGAAACTAGTGACTCGTCATCACGCAAATGATGCTGATGCTTTCATTGCGTCTGCCGACTCCTTCATCGCTGATGTGAAACGGCAAATGGAAAACTACGCGCCTGAGGAAATTCTAAATACTGATCAGGTTGGTTTGGAACTAGAGCTTCGCTCTACTAGGACACTTTCGTATGTTGGTGAAGATGTTACCGTGGCCCGTGTGAGATCAAAAAATGCTACGACGCATTCTTACACAGTCTAACCGATGATATCTCTAGCTGGAAAACTCGTCGGTCCTGTCTTTCTTTGTTTGAGAGAGCCGAAGGGAAAGATGAGTGACAGTGAGTCAATTGACTACACATCTCTCGTTTAATTAAATGCTGTCTTTTCTATTAGATATCAGAAGCAAATTATTTCCTGCCTCAAATGTGGTTGTGACATGTAGTGCATCTGGAAAGCTCACCACTTCAGTCGTTGAATACTGGAGAGACCACATTCTTCGCCCGTTCACTCCATCAAACCCTCTCTTGCTCTCGGATTATTGGCCTGGCCAGCGAAGTTCAGACATCTATTCAAGCGTCAAAGGATGTAAAAGATTAGGAATATCCGCCCACACTACATCACACATTCAGCCACTGGATGTGTATTTCAACAGACAGTGGAAGCTAATTGCTCGGCGTATTTTCGATCATATCCAGCTCGATGATATTGTCATTAACTTATCTGAACGAAATAATACAATACGCTTAAACTCTCTCATTCATAACCAGCTGCCATCGCCCCTGTTCACTTCCATGATCAAGTATTCGTGGTTTGCGTCAGGTTACGTCGAACAGCACCTAGGAGATTTCGAATCTATTAACGAAGTTTGCTTTAATGTTGACAGTGGCTTTTGTCAGCAGTTGAGCTGTCACTTGCTACCTTTTATTCGATGCAGCCATTGTCGTAAATTTCTTTGCTTCAAACATTTTTTTGAGGCTTACCACTACCATAATTAGGTATCTCATACTTACCTATGGATCACGTCTTTTCGAATATACTGTCAGTCATAAAATAAAATTGAGTATTCCATGCTTACACTTCATGAAAAAGATTGCTTTCGATCTCATTGATGAGGTATATTTATGAGAAAAATGTCTGGCGTGTGTTTTACTTTTGATTGTGATACGGTATAATGGTACACAGTAAAAGTAGCTGTATTGGCTAAGAACTTGAAAATTCAATATCTCAATATCTTCATGAACAGTACTATACGAAGGCAAGATATCTAGGATTTCTTCTCTACAAAAAGTTTAGCTCCGGCTACTATTCCCTTTGCAGGTCGGCTTTCTGACGAACCCTCTCTCTTAAATGATGACAAGCAAATATATCTTTTCATAGCTTTGTCAATAATAATGTGTTTTCATTTTGTCAGAAGAAAAGGTAGACAAAAGATGAGACAGAAGAGAAAAGAATGCGTTATTATTTCGCTTCTTTTACATTCTATAAAGGAATACAGATTTAACCGTCCATTTATACGCGTTCGTTTACTTCGATGTTGCACTTTTCTGTCGTCTGATCTTAATAGTTCGCTCATTTTTTCGAATAAAGGATTTCCATCTTTGTTGAATCATTGATCAATTTATCCTAGTTTTTTAACAAAAAAAATTAAAGAAATAAGTGGTGAAGATAGTTCTAGTGCAACTGACGGGGAGAATGATAATTGTGTAGAATTTTAGAAGATGCTTTGAACTGTCTAGCCGCCGCATTAGAATTGAAAATCCCTCGCAGGTTCATGACCTGGCATCGTTATCTTTCTCATCCATCTTAAGGTTAATGCTTTGTATCTTTATTTCTTATCACTAGCAGTTTCCTGATGATACACAAATATAGCATGCAGTGCATACAAATCTTTGGGACACTTTACTAAATAAATTTTGTTTTACAAACCGCTTTCTCGTTACAGAACAGCTTAAGTCGTATATATGTCAGATGTCAACACAACAGGTTGAGGTCTGACGTATAAATTCTCAACTGTGTTGAGAGAATAGTTACAGAAAGGCAATCTCAAGCACGGCGCTCATAGCAAGGGGCCACTTGATCTTTCCAAGGGTGGTGCTTTTCTCTAGCGAAAAAGTGGTTGGAAAATAAAATTTATTTAGTTTAAATAAGTCGAGGTTAAAATATCAAAAGTCGTTTACGACAATGTATTTCTACCCACAGACCATTTTTATAGTGTAAATATTTACTTTTTCCAAGTACACAAATTGTTCAGTTTGATAAACGTTTTTATTACATTTAAAACATTTGGATGCTGCCATAATCTAACTTTTTTTCTGTTATGTAAAAAAGAGAAAATAATATTCTTGTTTATTCATTTTTTTAAGTGTACCTGTTCTTCTTTTTGGTGAGCTTACCGATAACGAAAAGAAGAGAGTTGATCTGTATTTGGCGACAGTAAGTAATTAAAAGAAAGAAAAAAATGATGTTGTTACTCTCCTTCTTTCTTCAAGGTTATCTAACAAAACAGTAATATCGAGCTTTTTCAGTTAAAATCCCCAAAACTTTTATGATGATCCATCACATCCAACAAAAGTTTTTTTATTGTTTGAATGATGCCAGTAAACGTCTTGGTTGTTTGTCTGATCGAATATAATATAACGGCGCTCGTAGCAACGGCCAGTTGAACTTTCTAAGGCTTGTGCTTTTCTGGAGCGAAAAGCGGTTGTGAAATAAAATTTATTTAATTAAGTCGAGGTTATACCTGAGCACGAAAATGTAAGAGAAAAAATCTAGATAGAGTCGCTTGCGTATCGCTCGATTCTCCAGCAGAAGTATCTAGATAAAAGAGTAAAGAATACCGAGTTAGCTAGAGACATCGGGTTTAACCCGATTGCACAATACAATACCCGATGCATTTAGTGAGAAATTATGGTTGAATAATATGAACTAGCGATTAAGCGTACGATTCATCTAGCTGGTTAAAAAAAGGAATTGCTAGATACAAAAAGCGATGTAATGAGTTTTAAAAAAGCAAACAAAGCTCATGCAGAAATTCAAAGTCTGTACCTATCTACTATCCGTTCCAAAATATAAGAGCATTGGTTGCTTTTTGAATAACTTTTGATAGGTAATAGATAGAAAGGTGTGGTTTCAGTTTTAGAAACTAGCGACCTGAGACCATGTTTCTATAAGCGGAAGCGAGTTTCGGAAAAAATTTTCAAGTTGTTTTCGAGGAATTCTTTGGAAAATCAGATCAGAACTCCCGAAAGTCTGATAGAAATGCAGTCGGTGTTTTACATGGGTATGTAGCTACAAGCATCCTCTAAAAAATGGGAGCCAAGCGAGACCTAGATTTCCTACGACTCCCAGGACTAGCACCTGGTGACTCTTTCTAGCCTTGAAAGATAATGGACTATAGATAATCGATCATGCTGAGTCTCGTGGCAATATTTGCTTTTAGAAAAAGTGTAAAATACACAAATATAGTGTCGCTGTCGGGGGGAGGGGAGGAGGAGGTGCAACATGAGAGTGAGCCGCTATGCAACATTTCGTGGATGAGAATAAATTCGAAGTTGCATGTCGGAAATTCTTACATTTGTGTATTCTCAATGAGAATACCGCAAGCCCGCGTCAACATATTACACTTTTTGAGTGATAGTCTCACAAATGCAACCAGTTGTGCGTACAAACACAATTGAAAAGGAATACAAAAGCACCTTGAATGACAATGCAAATAACTGGTTGTGCCTTAGCGAAAACATCCTTAGAACTTCAATGCAAAGAAATTCACAAAGGGTTTCAGAAAAAAATGCAAGAATTGAGTAAAAACCTATACTAGGTGAAATAACCCGTATTTGATTATTTACACCAAAAATTAAAAAATTCATAACTCAGCCAACATCCATCCTACCTTCTTCAGAATGTCAGAAAATACTGTGTTTATTTTAAATACGTTAGCGTGTATGTCTGTGGTATCCTCTCGATTGATCTCTGATTGATTGCAAGATCAAAGAAAACTAAAATGAGACTTAGAATCGCGACTGTAAAAGGAACGTAATTTTAAAACCATCAACATTACGACAGATAAAATAAAATTGTTTAAGTATATTACTATCAATCCAAACCAAAGATATATCGTATAAATAAAAACTCCTAGCGGTTCATCTTCACACCTAAGTTTTCGATTAGATATTCACGTAAATCATATAGATTTTTGGTTATCATCAACAAATGTTTTAAGGTAAGGACTATTTCAAATCTTGTTCTGAGATACCTCTCCGGCGTGCGCCCGCAATACACTTAATGAAAAAAACCAAGATACTTTCCGTATCTATTTCCAAAAACATCTTTCAATTCCTAATCAGCTTCAGAATGTAAAATTCGTTTTTTCCCGCGCTGAATTACACGAAACTTAGCTAAAAATAATTAGCTATACATCGTCGGCAAGTGTACGAACGTAAATTTCAGTAATTGAAAAGAACGGTAAAGAACTCTAACCTGCTCCCTGACGAGTATTCAACGATAGCAGTCGCGACCTATCCGACACAGGGCCGAAGGTGGGCCATGATCCGTTAGAAAAATATTTCATACTACCTCGGATTGAAAATTTTCGGATTAATTACAATTTTAAAAACACAAATGAAATGTACGATGCTGGCAACTCAAACTTTAAGTAATAATTTTTTTTAACCTGAGTAAGAAAAAGTCGTTTTTAACTGTTGAAAAACTATTTTCCAGTCGAAAAACGTGAAGGGCGCATTTTTTCGAAAACCGTTAGTTT